CAACATGAACATAAAAATAAAAAAATTAACCTGACTAAACCATCCCTCCTACATGCAGCTAGGAAGACCAAGACCTATATAAAAACAAGACAGCATTTAGCTGGGCACAGGGCAATCATTGCTCAGAGCAGCAGGGGCATTCTGTCTTTTAACATATGTAGAGAAAATGATATTTTCCATACAAAGGGGCAGCATAAGAAAAAGAGCATCAAGGGACAGGATTCTATTCCCAAGGCCACATTTGACTATGGAGGGGGGTGAGGAAGGCCTTTTCTTCCACAGCAATGCATCTGGAGGTGCCAGATGAGATCCCTGTTTACCCCTTTGTAAATATTCCTCTCCAAGTCTAAATTTATAGGAAGCAATTAAAAAAAAGACTCATATAAACCACTTTCTGAGGACTACACAACCACCCAGATTCCCTGAGTGAAAGTGTAAGCCCATGGATAGCCTGCTGTGAAGATAAGCAAGTTTCAATGATGCCAATGGACGGAAACAAGTGGTTCTGCTTTAGAGACAGAAGAAAATGCCACTATCTCTTATGAGATAATGAAGGAAAAGGTGAAAAGTCCAGAGGTGAAGAATTCAGGAGCTCCAGGCGTCTGGCTAATTGGGAGATTTAATTTGGTAATGCTGCCAACACCATGACGGAGTACAGCACTTTCCTCTTAAAACCCTTACTCAATGCGCTTTGGGTTTGTTTAATTTTTCTTGGGGGAAGGGAGAAATCAGAGAAAACTTCTAAAAATATATTAAACTAAAATACAAAATGGGGAGGGCAGACACAAAGGTGTGGTAGGCTGCAAGATTAAATTCAACACAGGTCAGAAACACGGACGGTGGCAGCGGCAGGAGGACAGAAGTTGGGAAAAGCTATTCTAAAAAGAGGGAAGTAGAAGCAGTAACTGACTAGGAAACATGAGGCTTTTCTAGATGTGTCTGTCACCTCATTTAGTCTTTCTGAAGGGCCTTCAGAGTTAAGACAGCAGGGGACACACTTTCTGAAGACCTCTAACAATGCACCTGCAGTACAGCCTGGTTTTCAGGGACAAGGGCTCTGTGGCATAGACACTATAGAGTTTGCATGTGGGCAAACAGATGAGCTGGCAAACCTTGTGGGTGCACATTCATTGCCCCTTTAAAAACACAGCCTGGAATGGCACCTGAAAGGCTCTTGTGTAACTATATGGAAGATACAAGCTGATCACAGTTACAGGAGGGAAGAATAGAGAATGACTGCATTTGCCCAAGTATCAACAATTCACGTTTTAACTGCTCAGAGAAGAGTCTACACACTACCATGCTGAGCATGATGTCTATGATGATAGACAGAGGAACTTATGGAAGTGACCACTCACTACAGAAACACCAGCCGCTAGTCTGGATCGGTTTCCATTCTAGATTTTTTGGACTCAAAGCTGCCAATTCAGCCCTTGGGCTGACCATTTTGGACAAACAGCTCATAGCCAGCAGCATCCTTCCAACAGGCAGCTGTTTTGCAAGTGCAATTGCCACTGCAGATTGTGGGTGTTAAATACACAACGTTGCACTACCCTTCAGGAAAATCCACTTTGCAGTTCCATCAGCTCTAGCACAGGCTGGGAGATTAGAAAGGGAAAGTTCTCTTCCTCCTGAAAATAAAGACAGATGCTGTTTGTGCTGGAAACAAAGCAGCCCCCAGCCCAAATCCTCATTCACCCTTGAAGCTTGAGACTGAGTTGAACTGGTCCCCTGAGCTCACAGCAAGGAAGAAAGGACCTTCAGCTTCTCCAATAATTCAGAGTCAGTGAGCTGGAGAACTGGAACAGGCAAGAGATGATCAGAGAAACTCTGGAACCAGCCAGAAAGTGACATCATAGTACCCACAGAATGCTTCACTTCGCAAAGCGATGCTTTGTACAGAGCTGAAAGCAGAAGGGGCTTTTCTGGGAACAGGAATCAAGAGGAAACAAAAAGAAGAAGAGGGATAACAACCCAATATCTAATCTCTTGTTGACAAAACGGATTGATCTCACTCTGCCCTGGCCTAACAGAGGAAGGGAAATCAAGAATGGTTTCTGCTCTTAAAGCCAAATATTTAATTCAGACCACATGTATCTTAGCTAAGCACACAAGCGGCACCACTCTCTGTAGGGTCTTAGATCCACCATATACCGACAGGCAGGTTTCACGACTCCCATGGTCGTACAGGGCTAAGCGACACCAGCTCATGGGAGGCCTGGCAGGGGGTATTAGCATGCCATCATGGACTCTCTGTAGTGCAGATGGAACAGCTATATTCTTCCAGGCTCTCAGTATTTTGCCGTAAGGGAGAAAAGCCTTGGGAACTATTTAGTGACTTCATTTGGTTTAAGATGTGCAGTGAGGATGGGCTGCATTTCCCAAGCAGTACGGGCTACTGGCCTGGCGCTGAGCACCCACAGCTCCCATCCAAATCAGTGGGAGTGACGGAATGCCAGGCACCTTTGGGGAGGGGAGTCGGTCCACATGTAACCAAGGAATATTGGTCTTTAATGTTTGCCAAGTGCTTGGAACAGATAAGTACTAAATTCTAATTACTGCTATTTTCTCAGCAGATAGAAATCAACAAGACCCCCTAGTTCACAGCCATTCCTGACTAAGGCCCACTCTAGTTCCTGAAAGAGGGTATAGCCACTGTGGAATTGACACTCTACCTTAGCAAAAAGGCCAAGAAGCAGAGATAAGACGTAGAG